CCTGCGCGCCCCTGCGCTCCCGCGCTCTGGAGTTCGGCGGGAGCAAAGCTCGGGGCAGCGCGGGGATGGGCTGGGAGCTGCCTCAAGGAGTCCGGTTTGTAACCACAAAGTGAGGATTTCGAATGGTTTCCAATAAATGCTGTCTTGGTTGGCAGGGTGAGTGTCCCGGTATATTCACTCTGTCCCGACAGCCAATTTCAGTGTTTCTGTAGTCGCAGGTGAGCAGGGAGAAATGATGGGGTTTTACCCCCAAACTTGCAGCACTGATTCAGAACTGCAGTGTGAGCCCACACTTGGAGCCCAGGTTGTTCATCCCGCTGGGATACACACTTCAAATACTTGCCTTCGGTCCTGTTTAGCCCCTTTGAAGGTTTCATCGTTTTAATGACTATGCAACAGACATGAGGAAATTCTTAACAGAAAGATGCAGGTACCTGGTTATAGCCTAGAGTTTTAGTCAATATAAAAAGTTGCTTAAAATGCTGCTGCTTTTAGCAGAGACAAAACATGAGAAGTCTAAGAAATTCCAGCCACCTTCTCAAAGCTTTTTTTTGTTTTCTTGTTTTACCCAATTTCACCTTTCCTCATCACAGTAAATCTGACCTCTCCTTCTTGCCTCCAGGCTTGTCTGTACAAGCTAGGCCCTTGTACCAAGGGTATGTGCTGGGGCACGTTGGTCCTTTAGTTGTGTTGCAACTACACCAGGGTAGAGAAGTTTTTGTTTTGGTTTTTTTTTTCTTTCTTTTTTTTCCCTCTCTATTATGTGAGAATGAGAGATTTTGAAAACTTTGAGCAGTATGGTGTTGCAAGGTACCACGCTCTCCCCACAGCACACAGCCTGCGCCAAGAGGAGATGGAGCTCTTATCCGCAGCCAGCGTGGCTGTCCCACACAGCAAAGTTGAGCCCTAGCCTTGAAAGATGATGGACCAGCTATGCAAGTTCCCAGCTCCGGTTTCAAAGTGTTTTGTCCAATTCAGTGATAGTTTCCAAATGGCTGCGATCAGTGAAAGCTGAGCCCTGAGACTGAATTCTGACTTCAGCAAAACTTACCTTTAACTTGAAAGGGGCAAAGAGTGTGGATTTTAGTTTTCACGAGTAGGAGGAAAGGAGGAAACCTGAAATGGAGCTTCCCTGAAGTTTGACCTCCTGTTTATTCTGCTGGGGCGTGATAGCATCTAGCAAATCAACATAAACTCTTTAGCTGAGGGCTTTTTCCTCCCAACTCTATGGCTCTGCTTGACTCCTTTTTGGATGAGATAACAATGAATGTGGAAGGGCAGGCTCTGCGGTATCTTCCTTTGTCTGTTGGTTTGTGCTGTGTATGCATGCAGCCCTAACAGAGCTGTCTTGAGGCTTGTCAGCAGCAGCGTTGGCAAAATCAAATGCTGTACTTCTGAGACAAAGGGCCTGCCAAGAAAAGGACATGTCTGAGCTGCAACAGAAAGCCTTGGAGCCCTGCTGGAGGTGTCTGGGAGGAGTGAGGGCTTCTGCTGAGTAAGGCTAAGCCATACTTACCTCGGAGGCAAAGAAAGCACCAGCTCAGCCTTCTGGGGCTGTGGCATTGGCAAAAAAGTCCTGTGAAAACTACTAGAGAAGTCTCTACTTTGTCTAGATGTGGCCTTAACTCGTGCAGTGATAGTAATTTCTATTGCTTTGAGAAATACACTAAGAGGCAAAACAGTGACAAGAATCAACCACAGAAAGAGAAATGTCTCAAGAAAGGGAAGGAGGGCATAGAGAATGCACAGAGGAAATGTATTTGAAGATGTAAGTTATTTCCTGCCCAAAGCCTTGTTGGGAAATACATCAAGGTATGCTTGTCCCATCATAAGTACATGGAAGCTGTTTGAGCCCATAAACATATGGGTGACATTAATGAAAGTGACTTGCATTTGCCTATGACTCTTGAGTGAGTGCTAGGAAGTCCTCTTGCTCATAGAAGGTCTAGAGCTGATTTTTCACTCTTTGAAAAGTGATCCTTTGGTGTATTATGTCATCCTGCAGGTAAAAGGACACAGAAAAGAAGATGGACTGGGGAAGTCTGCAGGCTGTTTTAGGAGGTGTAAATAAGCACTCCACCAGCATCGGGAAGATATGGCTCACAGTCCTGTTCATCTTCCGTATCATGATCCTGGTTGTGGCTGCAGAGAGAGTCTGGGGAGATGAACAACAAGATTTTGTCTGCAACACACTTCAGCCTGGGTGCAGAAATGTTTGCTATGATCACTTTTTCCCCATCTCTCACATCAGACTCTGGGCCCTGCAGCTGATCTTTGTTTCTACACCTGCGCTGCTGGTGGCCATGCACGTAGCTTACACCAAGCATGAGAAGAAAAGACGGTTCAGAAATGGTGAGAAAATTGATATTGAAGAGCTGAAAAATGAAAAGATTCACATTCGGGGCCCCCTGTGGTGGACGTACACCAGCAGCATCTTCTTCAGGATCGTCTTTGAAGCAGTCTTCATGTACGTGTTCTATTACATGTACGATGGGTACCAGATGCCTCGCCTGGTGAAGTGCGATGCATGGCCCTGCCCCAACACAGTGGATTGTTTTGTGTCTCGGCCCACTGAGAAAACCACATTTACTATTTTCATGCTTGCTGTGTCTGGGATCTGCATGATGTTGAATCTGGCTGAGTTGTGTTACCTAGTGATAAAAGTTTGCATGAAAGGATCCAAGAAAACAACGATTTTAAAATAATTCCCCAGTTTCAGGATTTCCTAGCTCCCCATTTCCCTCAAACTTTCTTAGGTGTCAGAAAACAATCAGCAATATTTTCATACTCGAGGAAAAGGATAAAAATAAAGTTCATTCATGTTTTAGAAACTATAGCCTCCCTGGGAAGCTGCCACTGAGGCAGGTTTTAAAGATCATGAGCTAATTCAGTATTCCTGCATCCACAAATAGAGAGAGCAGCATTCTGGCAGCAGCTTTTCCAAGTATGCCTACTGCTGGGATCTTGTTGTTGGGACAGAGTCATTTTTCAAAAAGTGGGAGTGGAGAGTCCCGGAGAAGGCTCTAGTGCCCAAAGGAGAGTCAGGAATTGCAAATGCACTATGTCACCTTCAGAGGTGAGCCAATAACAAAGAGTTTTGGTCAACAGTGGGGTGAAGGGTTTTTTTGGGGAATTTACGGCTTGTGAAAGGGAAGAAGACAGGGAGGTGACTGTGTTTGTAGCAGGTGTCCTATTCTCTCTAGTATTCCGGAGAGCAAGGAGAGGGCCTAGGAAGAGGTACTCTATGGCAATGCCCGCTATCAGCTCTGGTGGGCAACAGCAATGGTTTTTAGCTTTTTATCTCCTCACCTGCACTGAGGAACATCTCCTACAGGGTTGGGCGGGGGTGGCAAGTCTCAACTGCTTGTGAATGTCATTAGATCAGTGCTGCTTCCCTCCACTCACAGGGGCTGCAGCGGTGGGAGGAATGAAGTTTGGTTTTTCATTCTCTTGGTCAGGTGAAAAAAAAGGATTGTCACCTTTGAGAAGGTGGGGACAGTGCAACTGTCTTCCTCCTTCTCTTGTTCTCCCCCAACACTTTGTGAAGAATCTCAGTACAGTAGATTTTATTCAATGAAGAGACTTTTTACCACCTGACTGTGCCTCCTTCAGCTGCATACCTTTAAAAAGATTTTTTTTTTTCATTAAAAATCAAGAAAAATTGCCTTGTTTCATTCTGTTTGTTATCCAAAAGAAGTGCTTCAACACTTAGAGCATGATATGCAGTAAGTAGATTGCACCTACCGGTGCTCCTTCCATCAGTAGCTATCCAACCCACACAGCTTTTTTTCATAAAACCTTCTCCCTATCTGAAGTACCTTTCAAGTGAGTCCATCAAACCACTCCCAAGCTCTCTGACATTCCACACTGTGAGACTGAATCACCGTTCTTACAGTAGGTCTAGCAAGAATTACAGACAGGCTGCAGAGCTAAAATAGCAAAGGGACCCAATCAGAAATGAGGAGGAACTTGATATTTTTCTTAAAGTTCACATTGCTAAGCTGTGAATTGTATGTTACAAACTTGAAGAACTATGTGAGTCAGTCTGGTCTTGTGTCTCCAAAGTAGTCTCAAAACATGTTTTGTGCCTGTCATAGGCAGCTACACCAGCACATACAGCAACACTGTTTATCTCCCAAGTGCCTGCCGATTGAACCCACGTCTAGAAAACTGGCTATTTCTCCTCCTTAGCTTTAATAACTGGCTTTTCCCCAAAAGGAATGAGTGCTATCTCAGCTTCTCTATTTGCATCCATCTCTTACTGTACGTTTAAGTTTATCACTGTCGGAGTAAACAAAGTTGCATTAACTAAGACCCGTCACCCCTCGCTGTGCACTGGAAGCGGAGCATAAGCAGGTTCCCATTGCTTGTGAGCTACATCCAGTGTTACAACTTGACTGCAGATGGAAATCTGTCATCTAGGAGGGGAGCAAGAAAAACATAAAAACACCATCCTCAGAAGCATGAACAAAAAGATGGAAAGTCATTAATAATGAGCTGAACTGGAAACTTGGACTGTGAAAACATCCTTAATCCAACTCTAAAGAACAAAGCTTGGCACATATCAGGTTTGTGCTTGGTAAAGTTCCTGCATTGTTCCATGTACAAGTACGAAGAAAACAAACTATCTACACTCCCAGTGTTCTAGTATTACATTTCTTTTGTAACAACAGGAATTTCATTTTTTTTCTGACATTATAATTAAAGCACTCTTGTGGTGTCTGTTTTCTGTATTACTTGTACGTGCTGTGTATTACTTAATGTATCTAATGAAAATCTGTTTACCATAATGGAAAATTTATGCACCAATACTACATTTAATAGCCAAGGGCTACTGTATGGCTTTTAGTCTTCTGGTACAGGTTGTTTTTTCAATTGGTTATATTGCCTGTTATCCTGCAGACTTCATGAGCTGATAGTGGAAGGTCACATATGTGACCCCTACTAGAAATCAAATGTGCTGCCTATGTCAGCCTTGTACTAGCAGAACTGCAGCTGGAAAAGGCTGGTGATAAATAACTTAACCAGCTCCATAGGGGAGAGAGTTTGTTTTCCCAGCCTGCCTTTGAGTGTAGCAGGAACTCAGAATGAGATACACCAAAACTGGTAACACTAACACTATAAGGTTATCTTCAACTAGCAGTTTTGCAACTAGATTATCACACAGGGGGAAAAAAAAAAAAGGGAAAGTGTTTGAAGTGGCCAAGAGGGAGCTTTGATCCAGGCCTGCAGCATCAGGTGACAATAGCTTTACCAGGACATATTTACTGTCTGAGATTTTTTTTCTGTGTATATTAAATTTGACTAAAAAGCTGCTTTGTAGGG